TGGCCTGGCGAATATTACTATTGCCACCCGAATTAAAAAAGCCAGTCTCACTTTAGGGTTTAGGGTTTAGGGTTTAGGGTTTAGGGTTTAGGGTTTAGGGTTTAGGGTTTAGGGTTTAGGGTTTAGGGTGTGGGGGTTTAGGGTTTAGGGTTTAGGTTTTAGGGTGTGGGGGTTTAGGGTTTAGGGTTTAGGGCTCATGGGACTTCCGGAGTTTATGGGGCTTCTAGACCCCTTAAATCGTCGGCCATAGACTGCGCAGACGTCAGGAGTCTTTCAGTATGAGAAAAGACTGTTAAGCAATTCCTGCTTAAAGGTTCGATATTCCCTGATCAGGGCTGCAGATGTGCTTGCCCTCTTCAGCGCGTTGGATTCAGGCTCGGATTCAGCGTCTTGGGGCTTCAGGGCAGGAGGCCCCAACCCTGGACGTGTGCATTTTGATCACGCTCCTGCGACTCTGTATCACAGGAAGTCAGTAGAGGTTCCCCCCACACCCAAAAGACATGGACCAGAGTCCAAGGACGCTGCTGCGCAGCTGTGGCTCTTAGGCCTGGCCCTCCTGGTCGGAGGTCCACAGCGTCAAGTTGTCCCTCAACAGCTGCATGATGAGCGTCGAGTCCTTGTAGGAGTCTTCGGCCACATTGTCCAGCTCAGCAATGGCATCCTCGAACGCTCTGCGTGCCATGTCGCAGGCCTCATTTGGCTGGTTCCTCACCTCGTACTTGAACACGGAGTAGTTTAGTGCCAGGCCAAGTCGAATGGGATGCGTGACCGCCAGATCTTTGTTCGCAACCTCGGCTGCCTGGCCATACAGGGGAGACGTTGCATGCAGGTCGGTTTCTCGAAGTGTCGTGCAAATCAACTACTCAGAGCTTTGCTGAACCCCATGCCTCGCTGTAGGCCTGGTTGGCGTTGTCCCCTGCCTTTTGCTTCTCGTCACCCTCGCGGAATTCCGCGATGTAGCCTAAGGGGTGTACCAAAAAGGGCCGAATAAGAATGAATAACAAGAACCCGAAACTCTCCACTAAAGAAATTTGGCGGAGTGGCGGTAGTAGTCAGCCTTCATCTTCTGGTAGAAGACCTTGGACTCACCGGAGCTTGCATTCGGAATCAGCTTGTCGCTCAAGAGACCCAGGATCGTGTCGCAGATTTTCTGCAGCTCATTCGCAACCTGGACACCCACAAACCATAAACCCCAAACCCCAAACCCTAAACCCGAAACCCTAAACCCTAAACCCTAAACTTCAGGGTTCTTGGTGTTCGACTCTTCTCGTCACAAACCCATCCGGAATCCGGGGCGAAACACCATGAAGCAACTCTAAGTTCAACTAAGCCAATCGGTGGAAGCGGAACCACCAGACCCCTCTATACATCATCGTGTTCACACTTTTGACATGCTTTTGAAAAACAGGCTCCCACCTTTGTGCAGTACTCCTTGGCATATTCCGCATTCTCGTTGTTGCCCTTGGTGGTTTCCTTCCTTGGTCACTAGAGTACGTACAACAACGGGAAACAGCAAAGACGAAGCAAGCGATCAAAATTTCGACTCACAAGCCCACGATCCAGCTTTTATTGGCAGCCCTGCTTCTGCATGACGCTGGTGATGATGCGCCAGGCAGCACGGCGAGAGCCCACGGTGTTCTTGTAGGCCACGGACAAGAGGTTGCGCTCCTCCACGGAGAGCTCAGTGCTTTGATTGCCCACGCTCTTCATGTAGTCGGCCATCTCGTCGTACCGCTCCGCCTGCTCGGCAAGCTTGGCCTCGAGAGCATCGCAGAGGCTCACCCTACCCTGGAGGAGGGGCGGGGATGAGGGGAGGGCAACAGCACACGCTGACCTGGTGGGAGGGGAAGGGCTGGGGGAGGGGGAGGCTGTGGGGGGTTTGGAGGGGGTTGGGAGGGGGGGTTAGGGGCTAGGGGTGTTTCGGAGCTCAAGGACAGGCATGCCGAACCAGCCAAGTGGCAAAGTACACATCTTTCTCACGAGACCCCATGGCTGCAAAAATGCCTTCCGAAGGAGGGACGGGCAGCAATGCAGGAGGCTTTTCAATCTTGACAACTTGCGGCTCGAGAACAGCAGATCGCCATCAGAACGCTCGCTGCAAACGTCACGAGTCCGGATAGAAGTCGCTAGAACATGCAGTCGAAACACCAGAACAAGGCAAGCAAGCTGCAAGCTCCACTCAAACAAAAAACCCTCTTAGGAGACCCCCTGGATGGGAACTAGACCTTACACCATCAACTTCACAGAGTTACATAAGGAGTCCTGCATTGTGAGAAAGGCCTGTTCCACAATTCAGAGGGATTGGGCCCTCGGGCCTGTGCTTGATGACTGGGGTTATATTGTAATCTGCTTGCCCTCTTCTGACCCACCTGTTCAGCATGCCCATGCAGCAGGAGTAAGGCTCTGATTCAGCGTCTTGGGGCTTCAGGACTTATGAACGTCAGGTAGCTGCGTCCGCGCCGCGTGTCCGCGCGTCCGCGCGTCCGTGCGCCCGCGCATCCGCGTGTCCGCGCGTCCGCACATCCGCGCGTGCGCGCGTCCATGTGTGTCCGCAAGTCCACGTGTCCGCGCGTCCGCGTGTCCGTCCGCGCGTCCGCATGTCGCTGCGCCGCGTCAGCGCGCTTGTGCCCACCCACACAGAGTGCAGTGCAAGTCCGACATTTTTTTGAAAGGACCTGTGGAAACCCCGAAGCCCCAACACGAGACTAGAGATCCCGCCCCCGAATTGCAGAGCAGCGCAAGGTCACAGGAGTTATTCGGAAACCCACACGTAATTTCTCGAAAGGTACGAGCAGCACACGCCCCACACCCGTGAATCCGAAACAATGTTTCAGCGAAACAGCCCCAAACCTTTAAACCCAACCCCCCCATTTCGACCCCGACACGGGGGGTTGGGATTGCTTGTAACAGCCCCAAACCCCCAAACCCAACCCCCCCCATCTTGACCGGGGTTTGCTTGAAACACAGCCCCAAACCCTTACACCCAAACCCCCCGATCTGGATACTTGAAAAGGCTCAAACCCTTAAACTCAACCCCCCCATCCTAGACCTTTGCTCGAAATACAGCCCCAAACGCCGAAACCCAACCCCTTCCATCGGTAACCCCGAGCTCAAACCCCCCCATCTGCACCCCGGGAAGGGGGTTGGGCCAACCCATGGCAAGACAGCCCCAAACCCCCAAACCCAAAACCCCCCTCATCTGCACTGCGAGAGGGGGGTTTGCTTGAAATACAGCCCAAGCCCCCCTATCGCAAGGTTTGCTTGAACCCGAACCTAAACCCAACCCCCTGATCTGGACCCCGAGAAGGGGGGGTTAGTGCGGTTTGGGTTTGCTTGAAATACAGCCCCCTAAATTAACCCAACCACCCCCATCAGGACCCCCTAAACCCAACCCCGACACCTGGACCGAGAAGGGGGTGTTGGGTTTGCTTAAGACAGCCCCAAACCCTCAAACCCAACCCCCCATGTCAACCCGAACCCCCCCAGCTGGACCCCGAGAGGGGGTTAAGGGTTAACCTTAAACCCAACCCCAAACAAAAGAAGGGTTGGGCCCCCTCCCCCAGCCTCGAACCTGGCCCCAGTTTTCTAGGCCCCTAAACCTCATTTAAAGTTTTCTGTAAGGCAGCTACGAAACAAAATTGCTCCACCGAGGTCGTCTGTGGGAACTTTTCCGACATATATGCTGCAAGTGCCGCGCAAGAAGATTTCACATTCCGAAACCGAAAGTCTTAGATGAGGTATATGTCTTCCAGCGAAAGGCTTGCATACATCCGCCTATATGTTCGCGGGTCTGAGCGCTTTTAGTTTTGCGCGTCCGTGTGCGCGTCAGTGGTTCATCGTGCCCGCACGTCTGCATATCCGCGAGTCCGCGTGCATGTCCGCGTGTCCGCGCGTCCGTGAGTCCGCGCGTCCGCGCGTCCGAGCGTCCGCGGGTGCGCGGGTCCGCGCGTCCGCGCGTCCGCGAGTCCGCGCGTCCGCGCGTCCGCACGTCCGCGTGTCCGCGCGTCCGCGCGTCCGCGTGTCCGCGCGGGTTCCATTGCGCCAAACTTTTGCAGCTACATAGTGTTCATGAGTGGGCTTCAGGGCGGGAGCCCCCCATTTTGATCACGCTCCTGCGACTCTGTATCACAGGAAGTCAGTAGAGGTTCCCCCCACACCCAAAAGACATGGACCAGAGTCCAAGGACGCTGCTGCGCAGCTGTGGCTCTTAGGCCTGTCCCTCTTGGTCGGAGGTCCACAGCGTCAAGTTGTCCCTCAACAGCTGCATGATGAGCGTCGAGTCCTTGTAGGAGTCTTCGGCCACATTGTCCAGCTCAGCAATGGCATCCTCGAACGCTGTGCGTGCCATCTTGCAGGCCTCTTCTGGCTGGTTCCTCACCTCGTACTTGAACACGGAGTAGTTTAGTGCCAGGCCAAGTCGAATGGGATGCGTGACCGCCAGATCTTTGTTCGCAACCTCGGCTGCCTGGCCATACAGGGGAGACGTTGCATGCAGGTCGGTTTCTCGAAGTGTCGTGCAAATCAACTACTCAGAGCTTTGCTGAACCCCCATGCCTCGCTGTAGGCCTGGTTGGCGTTTTCCGCTGCCTGCCTCTTCTCGTCACCCTCGCGGAATTCCGCGATGTAGCCTAAGGTGCTCCACCCCCCCACCATGAGGGGGATTGAAGGGGTGCGAAGTGAACCGCCCTTTGACAACTGTTTCGGAGATGATCTAAAGGACCAAACCTTCCTGCCATTAGACTGAGTGGCGGTAGTAGTCAGCCTTCATCTTGTGGTAGAAGACCTTGGACTCACCAGCTTGCGCACCCGGAATCAGCTTGTGGCTCAAGAGAGACAGGATGTCGTCGCAGATTTTCTGCAGCTCATCCTCAACCTGGACACCCTAAACCCTAAACCCCAAACCCTACACCCCAAACCCTAAACCCTAAACCCCAAAATGGACATTGTGATTTCAGGGTTTCCGGGTGGCCTGCGAGCTGGCAGCCCAAAGATGAGCTGGTGCCCCGTGTCATGACCCTAGAACCCTCGCTACCACCTTTCTGCCCACTAGCTGCTAGAAGATCGAACCGGACATCCACACTTTTGACACACTTGTTGAAAAAAATATGGAAGATCCCGCCTTCTTGCAGTATTCCTTGGCATAGGCTTCGTTCTCCGTGTTGCCTTTGGTGCGTTCCTTCCTTGGCCACCAGGGTATGCACAACCGCGGGGAAAATGCTAAAGACGAAGCAAGCGATCAAGATTCTGGCTCGCACGATCCAACTTTTTTCTTGCCAGCCCAGCTTCTGCGTGACGCCGGTGATGATGCGCCAGGCAGCACGGCGAGAGCCTACAGTGTTCTTGTAGGCCACGGACAACAGGTTGCGCTCCTCGACGGAGAGCTCAGTGCTTTGATTGCCCACGCTCTTCATGTGATCGGCCATCTCGTCATACCGCTCCGCCTGCTCGGCAAGCTTGGCCTCAGCAGAGGTTCACCATGAACTACATTGACTACACCCTACACCCGGAAGTACGTTGGCAGCCGAATGGCAAAGTACACACTCTTCTCACGATCCACCATGGCTGCAAAAGGCCTTCCGAGGGACGGGCAGCAACGCAGGAGGCTTTTTGAATTTTGACAACTTGCGGCTCGAGAGCCATAAGTACGCGTCCAGCAAAGGTCCCAAGACGGGCAAGAAGTCGTGACGCCGAAACGAGGCAAGCAGCTCTACACCGCAAACCTTTAAGGCGAGTTTTGGCATGTGGCGAGCCTACTTGGAGGTTTACGCGTAGATATAGGCGGGGTAGCGATGCCTCTAACTGGCTATAACCTTCTGCAGGGTACGCATGGCCCTACTTATAGCTACCCCTGAACCTTCAAGTAGCCCTAAAACCTGAACCCCAAACTCTAAACCCTAAACCCTACTTACAACCACCCGCGAACTTTCAAGTAAGCTCCTCCCCCCCGTGAATGCCCAAGCCCTCCGGCAACCACCCTAACCCTAAACCCTTATAAACCCTAAACCCTAAACCCTAAAGCCTAAAGCCGAAACCCCCATAGCCCCCAAACACCCATGGGAATCAGCGCTTCGGAATTCTCAGAAAACACAGGAAGTCAAGGGGCAGGGCCTCAGGGTTTAGGGTTTAGGGTTTAGGGTTTAGGGTTTAGGGTTTAGGGTTTAGGGTTTGGGGTTTGGAGTTTTAGGGTTTAGGGTTTAGGGTTTAGGGTTTAGGGTTTAGGGTTTAGGGTTTAGGGTTTAGGGTTTAGGGTTTAGGGTTTAGGGTTTAGGGTTCAGAATCCCCTCAGAGGCAAAACAACCCCAACCAGTCTACACGGCTCAGCACTCCAGGTTCGGGAAAAAGCAAAATCGCATCCTTGTGGATGGCGCTTCCTGCGAAGCAGACAGGGCCTCCAAAAACCTCCCATCCCGGAATAACCCTAAACCCTAAACCCTAAACCCTAAACCCTAAACACTTGCTGCCGGAGTTCCACTTGGAGGTTCATGGCACTTATTAACCAATTATAACTGTACGTACAGCCATATTAGGGCACTTAAGGGGCTTATAAGTGGGTTCGTGAGTACAGTTATGATTGGTTTTACAATTATGTACCATGAACCTCCAAGCAGGCCTCTTTTCAGTGGAGCATGCAAGGAGCCGAGAGCCACCGACTGCACTGGTGCTGGGGAGTCAGTGGAGCTGAGGCGCCCTGTGGATGTGCTTCACAATTCATGGGGCAGATATGGCGACTTCTCTCAAATGTGGCCCCTCTTTGGGGT